GGGGGGGGAGATTATTAATTTATTCCATGGTTGTCTAGAAAATGTGTTGCTGCTTAGAGGCACGATATTTTAGATCTTCTTCCTCAATGCCCGTAATTGTCTGCATTATTATGTATATTATAGCCTCTATAGCCTCGTTCAGCATCTGTTTCGTTCTACATGTTCTTCACCTCAATATGCTCTCTGCCCAAACTATATCAGTAGACAGACATCTGTGGTGTAGCTGTTAAGCACTTCAGTGTCGCACGCAGAAGACCCAAGTTCGATTCTCCAATGGACAAAGATTTTTTTCGAGTGTCTCGGTCTTTCTGCCGGGATGTTGTATCCCTCTCGGCTCGGGTTTGCCCTGACAGGCAGGGCAGAAGCCCATAATTTGAGCCCGCGGGACACATTCAACATTATCAGTTGGTAGGAAATTTTGAATTTTGCTCGGGTGGCGGCCGAAGCCTACTCTTATCAATTTTGGACCACCAAGGGATCTTTGACACGCGCAACTTGCACACTGGACCTCCGAGATTTTTCGCTTTTGTCCGAGAGAGCAAGGTGTTGATCTTTCCTACCATAAGATCAGGGGTGTGGCTGAAAGAAAGCAATAAGAAGGAGCCAAGGAGTAGCAGCAGAAAGGCTGCAGAAAGAGCCAGGAGCCCAACGGAGGGGGCAAAGGAGATAAGGGGGTAAGGGGGTGGGGGCAGAAAGTGGGGACGAAAGCAGACCACAGAACATTGTGAGGGAGCAGGAAAGGATGTAAAAGGAGAACATTTTAGAGAAGAAAATTTTCCTTCGCCATCCGGATTCGAACCCGTGACCTATTGAATGAGAGGCGAACACTTTAACCTTTAGACCACAAGAGCCCCCACGCGCGCCTCCAAACTGATCTGAATTATTGTGTCAATGGGGGCGTAAATACAATTACTGCTACATGGCTTTTTAAAATCATCTCGGCAGGACGACAACGAGGACTTTGATGAAGACGATGTCCCTGTAGTGTACCGTCCTCCGCCCCGCATACCTAGTGAGGCCCCGGGGGTCGGGACCAACAGCAAGGTCTACTTTGTCTGTAACCAACGTGAGTGCTGTGGTCGTAGATAGATAGATAGATAGATAGATAGATAGATAGATAGATAGATAGATAGATAGATAGATAGATAGATAGATAGATAGATAGATTGGGGAACAGTACTTTTTGGATAGATAGATAGATAGATAGATAGATAGATAGATAGATAGATAGATAGATAGATAGATAGATAGATAGGGGAACAGTACTTTTTGGATAGATAGATAGATAGATAGATAGATAGATAGATAGATAGATAGATAGATAGATAGATAGATAGGGGGAACAATACATTTTGGATAAATAGATAGATAGATAGATAGATAGATAGATAGATAGATAGATCAATAGATCGATAGATCGATAGGGGGAAACCGTACATTTTAGATAGATAGATAGATAGATACCAAGACGTACTCTTTCCATACCAGTCACTTGGTCCCACAAACAAACATAATATTACCATGACCCGCTTTGCTTTGTCCATTCAGCCGGTCTTCCCTGGCACCGTCTCCCTCACGTGACGCCAGCTCAGATCGTTACAGCGAGACAGATTCGGCCGTTCTTCACGGGAGACCTGGAGCATGTGGTCAGTTTTTCTTATACCTTTTGTTTTTTTTTATATTTTGCTTTTTTACTGCTTTTAATTTATTTTTATTTATTTTTTTACTGTTTTACTTCTGCGTTCATGCAAATTGATGAGTCCAGACCACATTTAGCTGACATTGTTTTCTCGAAACCTGGTTTTTCTATATATACTTGCTAAAATAACTCCACCCTCTTTCATCCAATCTTAATGAAATTTTAACAGAATGGAGAGACGCTGTAACACACCAAAAAAATTGTCTGTCGAATTTTCAATTTTATATGGAATAGATCTAGATTTTTCCTGCTAGTGTTTGGAGTGTTAATTTTCAGTTTTTTATTTTTTTTTTAAACCTCAGGAAAAAATTAATTTTAATTTTAAGTGTTCTTATTTGTTTAGGAAAAGTTCAACTGCCTCTTTTGTAGATAATATATTGTCTGCTAACATGCTAGAAAAATAACAACATATTTCCATGAAAAATAAGTGTGGTGTTCCTTGCGTAACATATGTCAACAAAATCCAATACGGTATCCGTCTCCATGGTAACGAAACTTTTTTTCTTCTCAAATTTGATTTCGGATTTTATGACTCCTCACTGTGCTTGTTACACGCGTGAAATAAGGTCAAATTTGATCCAGTAATAAGCGAGATATCCATCATGAGTAGCCCCCCTCCCCTGCCCCCCCCCCCCCCCCTCTCTCTCTCTCTCTCTCTCTCTCTCTCTCTCTCTCTCTCTCTCTCTCTCTTTCTCTCTCTTTGTGTTTTTCCCCGTAACGGACCTCACCGCAGCTTCCAATTCCTTGTTTAAATGTTGAGATTATGAGAGCTGCACGCGTGTAAAACGCTCCCGTTGTTGTGAAAACACCAATGCAGTACACTGCTTTATTAATTCTTTCTCCAATTTAAGCTAGTTATTTGAACAAAGAGATAGCTATTAACTGGTTCCCGTATCGTTAACGTATCGATTTCGCAAACGCTCAAGGTTAAGTCCCAAGTGAAGGTAAATATACACAAGAAAATAAAAAGGAATGGTTTCGTTATTTTCAAAAGGTCATGGCTAGAAAGAGAAAGAGAGGGAAATAATGTTAGGGTGCATTACCATAATGTGATAACAGCTAAACACTACGCTAGACGTCAATTACCACAAAAACAAACCAAACAAACACTGTTTCCAATCGAACGGATCAAATTGTTAAAATGGGCTCAGATAATTTCTATCTAGAGGATCAAGCAACTAAAAGGAATAAATGTGTTTGCTTGACTCTCTGGGAATCTGCATAGCTGGCTAACTTGGTGGAAACCTGCTCATAGGGACACTTTGTTCGTAGATTTATGATATAAAATAGCCAGATTTGTAGGCCTGTAGTATTTCACTGAACGTGTCTGGGCGGTTTTGTTTTATTCATGGAGGCGCTCTGGCATTGATGACAAAATACCTGAAGCAACCTCTTTACTTCTACATATTTTGGGGGTACCCCCTTCCCCCGGAAAAATAGGTCAATCAATCAATCAATAAACCAATCAGTCAATCAATCAATCTATGTATCAATTAATGAATCAGTCAATCAAACAGTCACTCATTTTCAATTACTCAATGAATCAGCCTATCAATTTAGGAGGGCATGCGCTTTTGAAAAAGTCTAAAGTGTGTCACAAATAGACACCGATATCTGCACCACAATATCAAAAGTATTCAGCTAGATTCTAACACGCTAATAATGTCACGAATTGTGCAATGTAAACTGGATTTTTTTCTTCTGTCTTTTTACGCTCTCGACATGAAGTCACGATTTTCGCGATTTTGAAAGAAATCTACGAAAGCAAGTCGTTTTAATGTCAAAAGAGGCGATATACTACACAGAAACACATGACACTGGGCAACTCAAATCGCGAATTCATAGAGGGGAAAAAAACGAAAAGAAAAAAAAAAAAAAAAAAACAACCGGTATTTTTTTTTTAGTAGAGGTTTTACGGCGCTTGCAACTGCATAAGGTCATATGACCGCCAGAAGATTAGAGGCGTTACAAGAGAGTAACAAACATACTCGTAAAAAAAGAAGAGGAAGAGATAAGTACGATAGATGTTTGATAGGAAAGAAGAAGCAAACCACACCAGAGCACCTGCCAACCACCCACTAACCGGTGTAAGCGTACAGTAACTGCCCAAAATGTTAAAATGAAGTACATGTTCAGTTAAACAAAGTGAAAGCTTGGCTTGCCATACAGAAGTTTTTGAGGTGTGAATCCAAATTATAACTTTTAATTTTATAATCCTTTTTTCGTCTTTTCAAGAACATTTCTTCTTTGTTCTATGTATTATTATAGGCCGAAGCGCCCCCTGCCCCCCTCCAAATTACATACTACGTTGTGTCTAGCCTACCGTGGCGATGACAGAGACGATGGCAATATCAGCAACAATAACGGCAAACACAACAAACTACTTCAACAACAACAACAATCGCGACAAGAAAAAGATGTGTGGTGCTTTGCAGTCGCTTCTTCGTTAATTAACGTATATCACTCTCGTACACAATCTCGACTAAAGGTGTATAATAATTAACTTGAAGTTACGATTTTTTTTACGTTGCTTACAGCACGCCACTTTCCCCCCTTTCCCCGGAAATGAGGCCAGGCTTCTCCGCGCACAGATTGCGCGCATCTCGTCTGCCACGTCAATCTCTCCCATTGGCTACTTGAAGTTTGAGGAAGAAGCGGAGGAGGAGGAGGAGCATACGGGTAACTTTGTCACTTCGTTCCAGTGTAGCGTAGAGTCTTGGAAACATTCATAAATTAATTAAACTTAGCATCCGATTTCAGTACAGTCAACGACGAGTTTTTTAAAAGTGATATAATAACGTTGACGAGATTGACACAACAACAGCAGCAGCAGCAGCAGCAGCAGCA